GTGGGAGGGGTGCTGTCTGTCAGGCGCCTTTTGGGTTAAATTCTTCTCAAGAGCAAGTTCAATGCTGGGACTAGAAAACGCCATCACTGACAGCCTCTGCAGATTTGGGGAGCTGTGTCATGAGAGGGGTCTTCCTCTTTGTGCCTGGGTTTGTCCTGGTTTCCCCACAGTCTGTGACATTTCATGCAACACAGATACATACTTCATCTTGACAGAAACAAGATCTCAACCAGGAAGGAAGACACACGGGAAGTTGTTCAGGGTCCCCATGGCGACACAAGGTGGTATTGAATGGGATTGTGGCGCTCAGCCTGAGCCGATGCTGGAACCCGTGTGTGTCCCCTTCTCTCACAGCCCATCTGGGGACACGTTGTAACCCCTTCTTCTCAGCGCCGACACTTTGCTAGGCTTGTTAACTGCAGGTTTGAGACTTCAACAAGGGGAAACAAATGCTGTGTCTGAAAGTCTCCTTTCGGGTGGAAAGGCTGTGAGTGAAGTCCTGCTGGACCCAGGCTGAACAGCCAGCCCAGGTCACCCCCCCATCCCCCTTTTAGAACTAAACCCACCAGAGCCCAAGATCAGGCATAGTTCCCTTCTGCTAATTGTTCCTGCTGTCTGCTTCTGCCAGATCTTCTCTAGCATGTCTGCCAAACCTTACACTCCTGTTTGTACAAAGCAACCAGATGTTGCTTATGAGCCTGCCGACTAACCCATTTGCACAACTGCCTGACGTTGAGGGTGACTGTGTAATCAAACCAGACACTTTTGAGAGAGAAGGGGGGTGAGTTTAATAATTACACTGGGAGAAGGGCATCAGCTGGTTCTGTTCTGGGTGAGCCAGTGTGCACAGTCACCCTACTGACGACCGTCCCCTCGCGTGAACGCTCGGGCCATCCCCCAGATTCTCTAGCCACTCACTGTGGTTGAATGCTTCCTGTGCTTCCATCCTGGGCTTGGGGAAGAGACAGCATTCGGGGAGCCATCCGCTGCTGAGAACCAAGTCACCCACCTGAGCATCCATCAGAAACAGCAAACACTCGAGCCCCCAATAAGGGGTTCTCCGCCTTCCCCAGGACATCCTAACAGGCCTTCTCTCAGCCTGGGGCATGGAGTGATGCTGAGAATGAAGCCCAAGGGCCCTGTCATCTGAAAAATCCAGTCCTTCAAGCAGAATGGGCTTACATTGACATTTTAAAAAGCAGATGCAGTTTAAACAGTAAGGGTTAAAAACAGTGCAGTTTCTCCAGCTCAGCTTTGAGTTCACTAGCCAGAGAAGTGCAGAGGTACAGACCACCCCACTGCACCAATGCAGACATAGGGTAATTTTGGGGTCCATGGAGCTGCTCAGTGCTGCCTTTGGGGAAGCCTATGCCAGTGGGTGGGCTGGAGCCCTCTTTCTGGTGTTCGCCCTTTTACCACTGAGTTCCGAGACCCTTTGAGATGGCGGTCTCGTTATCAGCCTGTTATCCACATTGTCTTTCAAAAGCAGTCTCTCATTTAGGAGCTGCTTGAAGAGCCCAATGCCAACGTGATGGTGAGCCACATACGTTTAACCGCAGTTGACACCAGCGTGACCACAGCTGACACTCGCATGAGCTCACACCACTTCCCTTTGCTTGCGCCTGTCTGGCCGCCTCCATCGAGGCCAATCAGAGCTGAGGCGTGTGCAGAATTCAGCTTCCTGTGGCCATTGCAAACGTGAGACTGAAGCATAGGGAATCCATGTAGCCAGATAGACACTTCGACCCAGCTTTTCACTTTCATCCCTATATCCATCCATCCATCCATTTATAGGTTAGTATTAAACTGTGTCTGCAATGTGCTAGGAGGGACTGTGTTAGGGGCTGAGATTCAATGGCAGTAAAGCAACCATGATGATGTGAAGTTTACAGGTGTTTTAAAATGTAGGTTTTACTATTATTCAGGTTTGGTGAGGCCACCAGACCAGGAGCTGACTGCCATTGAAAAAAGAGTTTGTTACAGTTCCTACAAGGAGGGGCCATGCCATGACACGCTAGACAGGGCCACATGGGGAGTCACCAGGGCAGGTCAGGAGGCAGAGAGAGTGAGGGACAAATGCAGGCAGAGCCTTTACTGTGGTTTCCACGGGAAAGGCAAAGCAGGGTAAGCAGGCTCAGGATTGACTGGGCTGAATAATTTCTGTGGGCTCTGGGGCAAAGGGGCTGTCCCTAGTTGCCTGGTACCTGGCCCTGGGTGATGAGGGCAGGTGGCCCAGAGTGTAAAAGCCTGGTAGAGGAGGCTGCTGGGGAGATGAGCTCTGAATTGGTTAGTTTGCATATGGAAGGCATGCTCCAGTTGCGTACTATCTCTAGGAATTGGCTAGCCCCGGGAGGGGCAGTCCCTCCTGCGTCAGCAAGGCCCCAGATGTCGAGGCATCAGCATAAAAAAGCATGCTTAACACAACTGTCTGCAGGGTCTCACACTCTCCGCCTGCAGGCCACATATGTCGTGTCTGGTGGGGCATGTGTTTCAGATCTTTCAATTCAAATGCCTTAGGCTGCGCATGAGTATAATCCCATTAGCCGCAGGCCTCAACATTCCCTATTGCCTTATAGCAGGCCACTGTCATAGTTATGTATCTGCCAGCTCCATAGCTTGTACCCTGATCTCCTATTTCCATGTGCAGAGAGCATGGGCTGGGTGACATTTTCCTCAGTGACTTTGCAGTCATTAATTGTACCTCCAAATCCACTCTGCTGACCTGCCTGGCTTCCCATAAATTGTGGTCCACGTCCGCCCCACCATCCTGCATCATCCTGCCATCTCAGTTGCCCTGCTCCCCTCTTAGGCATGGTGGGGATCACCTCACACTTGCAGAGGACCTTTCCAAGTGTTTCTTTCCCATTGCTTCCTGCACAAAACCTTCAAAAGTGAGAGAACAACAATTTCTCCCATTGTCTGGACGGGAAGACCGAAACCAATAACAACATGACTCACACAGGCACATGCTGGTGAGTGGTGCAGTCTGATGCGAGAACCAAACCTTCTGTTCCCTGATGCCAGCTCCCTTTTTGGTCCATACCCTGCCTGGACAGGGCCCCAGAAAAGCCCAGGGCTGGGGGTGAATACTGACCTTGAGATAAAGAGGTGCACTTACTCCCCAAACAGATATTTAATGAGTACCTACTACATCCCAGGCCAAATGTTAGATACAGGAATGCAGGGGGATGGATAAATGAGGCAGAAACCCTGCCTCCAGGGAGCAGCTGGTCACGAGACACGATGGCGTCTTTACCAAAACTCTGCCACAAGAAAGAAAACAGCCGGCCTCTGGGAAGGGGACTGATGATGGGACACGACTGGCTGGTGGTATTCATCTCGTAAGTTGACAAGCTCAGTTGCTTTGTCTTTCCCCTAAATATCAGGATGTTAAGCTTCACATGGACACTGGTGTTGAAGTGATGTCTTTTTAAAAAAACATGAGAATGGGTGCCCTGTTATTGTGGGGATAAGCTTTTTACCCCTGTCTCAGGTAAACTCTAGAGAATGAAGAATTAGTTAACTAGGTTTCCCATTATGGTTTTGCTAATGAGGACATATGCCCCCCTCATGTATCAGAGAGTGGGGAGCTGATGAATTGGGACCCAACTCCCAGGTCCTGGCTCTGAATCTGGGCTCTGAAAGCTTTGTTTACAAGCTTTGCAAACTATGAGGCCAGCGCAGTCATGGTGCATATTCTGTCATTGTTTACTTTCATTTTGGCTGTGGATGTTCTAGAACTTCCATTTATTTAAGTGCTAAATGGTCTTGTCCAACCATTAGCTTTTGGGGGGTTTTAAAGTTTGCATCTCTTCTCCAGGTTAGTTGCATGCAATGCAGTGAGCGTTGTAAAAGGGCTGCTGCCTGGGTAGGGAGGGGAGAAACCTCAAGCACAGCTGGGGGAGAGAGGGTGGAAATGGTCCCCAAACCTTGGGCAGAGCAGATAGGCTCTCCTTGGATTCCCACAGGCATTGCAAGTCCAAGGTTGCTCACACAGAGACTGGGGGCCCTTCTTGTCCTCTGAGTGAGGGTCTTGCAGGTCGTGCTCTTTCTGGGTGCTTAGATGCAGGGTGTTCACCCCACCTGGAAAGGGGGGTATTTTCCCATTTCCCACAAAGCCACTGGGTAGGGGCACCTGGAGGTGGCCTGAGAGTTTCCCCTTTCATGCGCTTCTATGTCTGATCTATCAATAAGTCCTCTAGCTGCTTCTCCAAAATCCAGCTTGAATGCGTCCGTGCTCTCCTAACTCCAAGGCTCTGGACCCGACCAAGCTGCCTCCCTCATCTCTTGCCGGGACGGCTATGGCAGCCTCTTCACTGGTCTGTCCTCCTCCTCATTCCACACCCCCTCCCCATCTTCATCCAGCATCCATCTTTTAAAAGCACAGACCTGACCATGCCGCTCACCTGCATAAGCCCCTCTGTGCCTCTCCTTGTTCTCAGAATAAAAATTCAGGTCATGACCATGGCCTCATGACAAGGTCAGGAGAGCTGAGCCCAGACCCACCTTGCCTCATGTCCCTCTTGGCTCTTGTCCGCCCCTTAGGTCTTTCCTGAGGACCCCGTTAAATAGCAGCCCCCATCTGCCCCCTCCCAGCCCCATCCCCCGCACATGGCTATTTATCTATTACCAGTTTGTGACCTCTCTCCCCAAGGACAGAGTCTGGGTGTGTT